GAACTTGCGCGTTGCGTTCATATTCTGGGCTCTTCTGCTTGTGTGTAAATAGTAGGCTATGCTTTATTAATAAGGTGTATGCTTTGCTTTTTTAATCACCGTCTTAATGCATTAAGCCATTAAGCATTTTCAAGTAATGGTTGTCAAAGGGAGGAAAACGCTTAACTTGAGACTTTTGCGTGTCGCGTTCATATTCCGGTCACATCTGCTTCCCAGTAGGCAAGGCAATATAGCCTAGTTCGCAACGTTAATAAGGTGAATACCGAATTTGGCCATACTTTTACACCGTCTTCTTCTATTAAGCCTATGGGAGGATAACAGTTTAGCGTGTAGCGTTCATTCTCATCTGCTTTCCTGTACCTAGTAACCTATATTTTATTAATACATTGTAATAGTAAATATACCGAGTTTGGGCTTTTTAATATATACCACTGTCTTAGTCCATTGAGCCACGTATTTTCTTTAGGTTTTCAGTGGGGCACAAAACACTTAACGTGCAATTTAGCGCAATTTGCTTTCATGGTCTGGGCTATCCTGCTTGTCTGTAAATAGTAGCCTATATGTTTATTATTAATAAGGTGTGTCCTCCAGTGTCACTGTTTTAGTAGGATACATTAAGCCACGTTAAGCCTTTGTGAGCGCAAATTGAAAGATAAAAAAATGGAAAAATAGAAAATTGTTTAGATTTTTATTAAAATGATAATTTCTTCAGTCACAATTTAGTAAACTGAAAAAAGGAGAGAAAATGGCAATTATTAATTTATGAAGTAACTGGAAAAAATGAATGCTTGGTTTCATTTTTGCATTTTTGCATTTGCACCATATGGTCTGAAAATTTAATTGTGAAGCGTTACACGGACCAAGATTGTTCAAATCCACTTTTCTTTATCTGACAGAGAATCCACTATAATAGTGGTCACCAACCTTTTTAGGCCCAAGATCCCTGACCTCGGCCTTTATGAAAGACAAGATCTACCTATTGAAGAATTGATAGAAAAAGACATCCCCGATTGTACTTCAAATTTGAGGCCTTTTACTTAGTATTTTAATTAGTGATGCGCCAATCATAGCTGATTCAGAATTCAGATTTTCTTTTCTTTTTTAACTAGCAAATTGGATTCTGATACTGATACTGATTTTTAAGCAAATTTATTTATTGGCTATTTGCTTTATAACAAACTGGCTTTAAACAAAAAATATCTAGCCATTTGAAATGAGAGGCAACCACTGCATTTTAATCACGATCTGCACGGGCAGTTGTTTTTGATTTGATTTAGATTGATCTACCAGTCGATCGCGATCGACGGGTTGGCGACCACTGCACTAGAAAATAAAGGGTTGTTATGATAAAACTCCAGATTTACCTCCAATACTGTAAACACAAATGAAACTATGCACATTACTTTCAACATACTGCTGATTTTAGTGCAGAATTAATAAATGTAAGTCTGAGGGCAGAGTTAAATAGACTGCTGAAAGGAAAACTAAAAATAAAGCTCTAAAAGGTCTTCAGACTTTAGAAAAACCATCAGTGGTCTAACACTTATGCTTCATCTGCTTTCTGATGCATAACAATATGAAAGCAGCCAAGTGAATAAAACAAAAAGAAAAAAATGAACAGAAGGTGCAGCAGATGAAAGCACTTTCATAATACAGTAATAGAGAGTCCATGACCTTTTTTGCAGCCTGACAGTGTTTTGTGCTCTTCCTTTGAAGATGGTGAGCAATAATGTCTAAATACTGTGCGGTGTACAAAGCACAAACCACACTCATATTCACTAGACTCCTTATACAATTCCATGCTTAATAAATCTAAGGTGAATTACAGTATTAAATTTATTCACTAGATTTTGTTTAAAGTTTAACAAGTTTAATTGCATTAATTAGAAATTACTGTAATCTAAATGGGTATATGGTTTATGTGAGGTCATGATTTGAGTATGGTGTATGATTTGTGCTTTTAAATTTTTGCACCATGATCATTTTAAATGCAGGACGTTTATTGGGTAATTTGCATTTGGCTCATTTACCATCTGCTGAACCAAAGCATAGGACCATCCATATGCATAAAAAATGTATTGCATAGATTCATTTGCTTAATTTCGATGAATTATATGAAGACGTTTTCTATTTTAAAAATCTATATAAATATTTTAAATAATTTTTAAATATATTTAATGCAATATCACACAAGCAAGCGCACAGCCTAATGATATTCTGGGAAAAAAGTTCAATTGCCAGTTTTATGTAGCCATTTTATACTGCAGTTCAATAAACAAAAATGTAATTTTGAGTAAGCTTACATTTTAGGCAATATTTTTGCAATATTGACAAGTATATTGTAATTTTTTTTTCTTTGCCAAGCAAGTAGTTCCAAAGAAATACACCACAGTGCCTTCCAAGCAACACAGTGGTGTTTAGTTTTTTTAATGCAGCATCAATGTATTTAAATGAAATAGTTTTATAAATGATTCAAAGATCTGTAAAAATCAAACTGTTCAATGGACGAGCCAGTAACTCATAAAGTCACGTTTCACAATGAATTCATATAACCTGCAGAAATAATCACTGAAAAATCCCTCACTACTAATACACAGACCGACGACGGTAACACTTTACAATAAGGTTCATTAGTTAACATTAGTTAACTACTTTAGTTAACATTAACTAAGAATGAACAATACTTCTACAGCATTTATTAATATTAGTTAATGTTAATTTCAGCATTTAATAAAGCATTAAAATAAAAAAATGTGTTTGTTAACATTAGTTAATGCAGTGTGAACTAACATGAACAAACCATGAACAACTGTATTTTTATTAACTAACATTAACAAAGATTAATAAATATTGTAATAAATGCATTGTTCATTGTTAGTTCATGTTCATTAATACATTATCTAATGTTAACAAATGACACCTTATTGTAAAGTGTTACCCCGACAACTTGCCTTTCATCATTCAAATATTTTAGATAAAATATTTTGGCAAGACTTTACAAAAACGTCCCATTAGTTGACGTTAATTCATGCATTAACTAACATGAATTAACAATGAACAATACATTTAATATTCTTTGTTATTGTTAATACATTGTTCATTGTTAGTTCATGATAGTTTAGGTCCATTAAATAATAGTAGCAGATACAACTTTTGATTTTAATAATGTATTAATAAATGTTGAAATGATCATTAACTAAGATTAATAAATGCTTTAGGAGTATTATCAAGTTAGTTCATGTGAACTAATATAAAAAATAAATGTTAGCAAAAGGAGCCTCATTGAAAAATGTAACCAGTGTTGTATATTTAATGTTTAAACGGAGTATTCTCAAAGAATATACTCAGAATTCATGCTGTGCTTGCTATACCTTTATTGTGATGAATTTATTATGTGATGTATTACATTGTATTGTATTTTTTTGTTTTAAGTAAACCTCTAATGGACACTTGAGTGCAGTACTTAACATCAAGCAGATGGACATACATAATTAATAATACATTACCTTGCAATGCTACAAAATGAATGCATTAACACAATGAGTGAACAGTAGCTTTTTCTTTTTTCATTTATACCACCTGTGTGTATTCAGAGCAATAAATCCTTGCACGATCATTTTACATGTAACATCATTTTGACACACAGTACGAAAAGAAGGTAGCCCTTTATTTTAAGTACCAATTCTCACTATTAACTAGATGTTAATTAGCATGCATATTACTAGCATATTGCCTGTTTTTAGTATTTATAAAGAACATATTAATGCCTTATTCTGCATGACCATATTTTTAGATCCCTTAATACCCCATACCTAAACTTAACAACTACTTTACAAACTATTAATAAGCAGCAAATTAGGAGTTTATTGAGGCAAAAGCCATAGTTAATAGTGGTGAGAATTGGACCTTAAAATAAAGTGTGACTGAAAATAATTTTTAAACATTTTCAAACATGCTTTATTTTCACAGAAATCAATTATCAACATCAAACCATGCCGACAAAACTTAGGGAATTCAAATTGATTAATAAAACCTTTCTCGAATGACACACAAACGAATTTGACAAAGAGCATGCCAAAATGGACGTATTCAGACTAAACTTGGTACATATCAACACAAGCATGACCTGAGGGTACATGAGTAGTTTTGACACAGCACCACCTACTGGTCAAGACATATGAAAAAATTACCTTTTTGCTAATAACATCTGAACAATTTGACCAGAAATACTTGATACAAATGTTTAACATTTTCCTCAGGAATCAATGACGTACATACAGCTTTAAAGGGTAAGTTCACCCAAAAATGTAAGACTTTTGTTCATCTTCGGAACACAAAGTAAGATATTTTTTATGAAATCTGAGAGCTCTCTGACCCTCCGTCCAGAAACGTAGCAAGGACATCGTTAAAATAGTCCATGTGACATCAGTGGTTCAACCGTAATTTTACGAAGCTACGAGAATACTTTTTGTGCGCAAAGAGAACAATAATAACATAATTTATTCAACAATTCTTCTTCCCGAGTTACTGTCTTCCGCCATTTTGGAGAGTACCCCAGAATGTAATCAACGTAATCAGCATTGGTTATGTTCAGTAGACAGCGCGCGCATGCTGAACGTAAACAACTCTGATTACGTTCTGGGGTACTCTCCAAAATGGCGGACGACGGTAACTGATGTCACATGGACTATTTTACCGATGTCTTTGCTACATTTCTGGACCTAGGGAACATTTCAGTTGCATTGCTGTCTACGGAGGGTCAGAGAGCTCTCAGATTTCATCAAAAATATCTTAATTTGTGTTCTGAAGATGAACAAAAGTCTTACAGGTTCGGAACAACATGAGGGTGAGTAATTAATGACAGAATTTTCATTTTTGGGTGAACTATCCCTTTAACAACAGAGTCATTGGTTTAAGGAATCAGTTTTGATCATGGTACAGTATTTATCTGTACAGTTCTAGAACCTAAATAAGCAACATTTGTGTGTTGGAGAGAAGATTCAGTCTTGTGAAATCTTGCTAATAGCCATGGGAATGTCAGCTAGAGTACTAGAAGTATTAAAGCGAAGTATTCGGCTGGAGGTTGTGAGGCTGCTCTGAGTACGATGAGGTTTTCTTCTTTGAAATATGTTCTGGCATAAATATGACAGAAACTTGTTGTGCAGAGAAGCATAGATGAAGGGGTTGTAGCAAGCCGAGCTCATGGCTAACAAGTGGCACGACACCTGGATCACATTGACGTGATTCTTGCTCAGGATGGCGAAGTCTGTGTCCAGGTCGCGTATGAGGTTGACCACCTGCAAGGGAAGCCAGGAGAACGCGAATGACAGAACAGACACCAGTAGGAGTTGAAACGTCTTGCGCCTCTTGCGCCCCCACTTTTCCTGGTTGGAAGGTGTAGCAGCCATGAGCCGAGGCGTAGCTCGGTGTTGCAGGTGGCAGGAGATTGCACAGTAGGATATGGAAACTGCTGCTAGAGGAACAAAATAAGAAAGGAGCAAGAAGAAACATGAATATATTAGACGATTGAGCTCCTGCCCCTGCCAGAACTCCTCACAAACCACCATTTCATGTCCTGTTGCGCTCAGATCCAGGTAGACCGTGTGCAGAGCGGTTGGGGTGGACATTGCTAACGCACAGAGCCATATGCTGACCACCAACCACGCGCAGAAGGATCGACCTCCGCGACGGCGAATCGGGTATGCGACCACCACGTATCGGTCCACCGCAATGGCGGTTAATGAAAGAACTGCCGCAAATACAGTCGCAGTCTGCATCAGGGTGACAAAATGACACATGAACTGGCCAAAAACCCAACCGCGCTCATCAAAGGCGTAAAACGCAGTCAGGGGAACGCAGAACAGGCACATAACCAGGTCAACCAGGGCCAGGTTTCCGATGAGGAAGTTTGTAGTGCTGTGAAGTTTCTTGTTCAGTCCGATGAGGATGAGGAGGAGGAGATTTCCAGAGCACGCTACCAGGACGAGCATGGCATACAGAGGGATGAAGAGTGGCTTCAGGTCCATCAGGAGCTGCAGTCCACTGAACGATGAGGCAGATGCATCTAAAGTCATGTTTGTCCACGATTCGTTATGGAGATAGTCCATGTCTGCCATGGTATGATGACAACAAACTGACACCTGTTTGAAAAAAGTGACATGTAAATAGAAGACAATGTAAATGAACTGTAAATAGAAACTATATGTATATTTTACTGTTCAAAAGCTTTGGGTAAGATTTTTTAAGAAATAGTTTTATTCAGCAAGGATACACTAAATTGATCAAAAGTGACACTAAATACATGTTTAATGTTACAAAAGATTTCGAATAAATGCTGATTTCAGTTACATGTGAAGACGTTCAGAGAAAATGCTGCTTTCCTTTCATCAAAGAATCCTGAAAAAAATGTATCACAACATGAATGACTTATTATCAACACTGATGTTTTTGAGCACCAAATCAGCATATTAGAATGATTTCTGAAGGATCATGTGACACTGAAGACTTTAAAGGAATAAATTCCATTTTGAAATATATTCAAATAGAATGCCGTTATTTTTAATTATAGTTTTTCACAGTATTACTGTTTTTACTGTATTTTTGAGCAAGTCCAGTTTTGGTGAGCATAACAGACTTCTTTCAAAAACATGGAAAACATGTAAAAGCATTAATATTACCATGACTAACCTAAGCAAAAAAATATACAACAATTAACCTGACATGAATAATATTCATTAAAATAATTATGAATATTAATAATTTTGTATATTGTTTGTATACACAAATTTGTATACTGGTAATATTAATAGGAGTAAACAGGAAATGTAACTATTTTGTATTTTAAATGTATTGAATTTCAATGGTTTTGTGGTTTTGACAGCTAATAATATACTACACCAGTGATCCTAAAATCTGGCTCGCGAGATCCACTTTCCAGCAGAGTTTAGCTCCAACCCTATAATCAAACAAACCTAGCTGTGATTTTCTAATGATCCTGAAGACATTGATTAGCAAACTCAGGTGTGTACTTACGTCACGATTAGTACCAGTTGTGCTGGTTAGACCCTGCTCCGGAGTAGGAGCTAATTTGGTTCTCGAAAAAGGCAGTCCGGTACTAAAATCGCTCCCAGTTACGGCGGTGCGAAAACGCCAAAAAGTGCGTAGTTCCACAATTAGTTCTGGTACTATGAAAAGGTTCCTGCGGTGCGAAAGGCCCTTTTGATTAGGGTAGAGCTAAACTCTGCAGGAAAGTGGATCTCGCGAGCCAGATTTGAGGATCACTGTACTACACCATACACACTGTGGTCAGCACTAACCATGTTTATCCTCTTGTATGAAAACTTGTATTTCATGTAGTCTGGGTCTACATTAAATACATATTTTCTTTAACCCTATGTAGTTTTGTCAGAACAGACCTGCAACCCATTTTTTGGGTCACAACCAGCCGATTACGAGCTACTGCTTTAGCAAAAGTAAATTACAATAAATGAACTGTATTGCTGGAACATTTACCCCTGAAACAAATTCAGTAATTCCTTGGATCTAAATGCGGTTTGGGATATCAGCACAGTTCACTACACTAAACCGGCCCGGATTGGATGTCCACTTGGATTATTTGTGTGTGATTTAAAGTAGAGAGGTCATGTACTCTATGCCTGTAGAACAGAAAGGCCATTCCTAATCTACAATATAAAGGAAAGACTTGTGGCAGTAATATACACCTTCCATACAAACTGATTAAATAAACAGACTGCAGTGTGCGTACCAGAAAACATAGCAAATGTGTTCTCCTCACATAAGTGATGTACAAATAGCATCTTGAAATGATTCCTAGTCAGCACTGTACGTTATTATTTTTGACTTCAGTATGATAATTGCAAGATTCCACTCAATAGCAAATTGCGATAGCAAAACGCTTATTTCTTACTTCACTTTCTGAAAGCTACAGTGCATTAGGTGTACCGAGCAACCGCTTTTATCTCCGAGATAACATTCCATGAACAGCCACTTGTACGCACTTGTGAACAAGAAGTCTCTTTGAAATTGGTTAAGACTGAACAACTTCAGAAGACATTTGGGCTTCTATCTGTTAGAGGACCCTTACAAGATGTTAGCTGCTCAGACTTACATGTTTTTACTGTAAAGGATGAATGGAATAAAAAAAAGAAGAAGAAAAAAAAGAATCTGCTGTTGAAACCGTTTATTTATTTTCAGCAAATTTAATAAATGAAATGCATGGAAAGCCATTAACGTGATTTAATGTCAGTTTCAGTTGTGACAACATGCCCCATACTGGGAATGTTAATATAAAATCATATAATCTGTGGACATTTCTAATGAAGCATCTGAATAAACAAACACAAAGGACAAAAAGAGAAATGGCCTGTGTTGATTAGTTCACCTAATGCATTCATATTGCCAGTCTAAGTGGATCTCCATTATTAATGAACAGTTATGTCCACTTTGAACATGCAGAGAACATTGTGAGACAGAAAGTCCTGCATGTTGCTTTCTGTCAAATAGATCTGTTCTGAACATATTGCCGCTGCTTCCCAGCAGACTGTGTGAACAGCAGCACAGCTCAAATCTAAATGAAGAAGACAGCAGTTACCTTACTCAGATCCTTCTCTCCTCAGCACTAGAGAGGTAATTTAACCGTTGTAATGGGGGAGCCAGTCCCCACAAACCTAAAAGACAGATTCAATCCAATACTGTAATGAGAGCTAAACCTGACTTACTTTCTTCTGATGATAAATGAGTTTAGAGGACGAAAAACTCTTTTCGACGTATGAAATTGATGATTGAATAGCAATTATTAAATATAATATCCATTAAATGCACGTTTCCGAGTTAAATATTTTTACAATAAAGATACGACTGTAAGTCTGTGTATGTTTAGATATAGAGACACCTACTGATTCTGATAATTAATTTTCTGCACCTAAAAATTCCTTATATCATTGTGTATTTAATATCGCTCTGTGCAATTAAATTAGCGTGACAATTTAAACATTTTTCAACACACACACACAGCATTATTTCAGTTTAAGCTAAAACATTTTGCCCACCTTTGTCCTTTTGATCACTTCTTCAGTGGATGCTGCATGATCCAAGAACACTTAGTTTAAGGATACAGGTAAGACTTCTTCACAGACTGACTAAATCTCTACGTTGCCTTTATTAAATACAACACATGTAAATGTCCTCCTCAAAACGATCCCAACTGGTGTACATTGAGCGCGAAGATCGCCGCCAAGCACGCGCAGATGACTGGAGAGGTCCCTCTCTACACGTCAATGCGCACAAGTGTGAGGAACCTTCAGTAACGACCAGCCTTCTTATAGAATGCTAGAAAAACTATTGCATTGTACCAACATGATTTCATAGACCTTTCCATCGGCTAAATGAATAAATGTAATCAAATAAATAAAACTAATTGAATTCAATAAAATAAGAAAAAATATATATTTAACTAGGCATTAATTCAATAAAGTACAATTTAAAATAAAATAAAAACTTGCAACTACAGACAAACGCTCTTATAATGTCCAACATGCTTTTTTAATTAGCCATAGTTTCGTATTATTTAAATATTCTTTGTATTAGTAAAGTAAGAATACATAAATTAACGAGTTACCTAAACTAGACGTTAACCTGTTTTTTTCTCTCTCTTGGTTCGATAATGGGCTGTACACGGCAACATAAACTACTGAGCTTGATCAATATATTGTGCACACAACAACTTATGATGTTGAGGAGGAAAAGCAGAAAACAAATTTGAATAATAAAATGTCAAAGTAAATAAAGCACTCATGCAATAAAAATTAACAATTTTACATGCATAATACGAATCAGATATGATAAATAATTTAAAAAAAATTTGACCAACTGTGGAACAAAGCAATGATGCTTGAACAGTATAATGACAGGAACGCCCTGCAGTGCTGCCTCATCCATATTCAACAATAGTGACATCTATTGGTTACTGCTGGGCAAAAATATCAGCATGCATCACTACAAAGGTCACACAAGAAACTCATTATGGCTCCTTCATAGTTTTTATTATCCTTTCAGAATAAAGTGTACAATTACTAACATGTTTAGCGACAATAGGCATATTACACCTAACATTCTCTACTAATGTTTAATTTAGTGGCCATCCAGTCCACTGACCTACACATTTGAATTCAGGGGACGAATGACAGATTTTCAATTCATACAAATATACATGAAATAATGCATTTATAAATGTAATGTTTGTGTATGTTTGGATTAGTGTATAAACAATACTACAGGAAATGAGTAAATAACAAAAAAAATACCATTTAAATTCAATAGTAAATAATGAAATTCATTTGATAACATATGTGGAATGTTACATGATAAAATGTAGTCAAGTTTTCGTGCTTGTACTTCTCTCAACAAATCAACTTCTGCTTTTGCAGAGCATGTTACGTGGCAAGTAAAATTTAAAAGATTTTATTTTTTAATCCACACATGCATTTCTTTCAGTCCTACAAATATGAGGATACAATAATGAATCTTGAGTTGAAACCAGATTGAGAGACATGCACAACCAAAGACACCTTAATAGAAATCTGAATCAAATGATCCCATTAAATGGATCGTAATACTCCACAACAAGACCTCATATTCTCTTAATTCCCCTAACACTGCTGGTCAGTTATTGCTGTGATATGGTTATTTCTCTGGGCTCGGGCACTCTTCCCCCTCACATAGCTTGTCAGTTTGGGTTGAGCTGGCAGGAGCCTCACTGTTCTGTGTGGGCAAGAGAAGGTACTCCAGCTCTTCTGCGTTGATGGCCACCCTTTCAGGAGACAGCCAGCGCTTGAACTGCTCCAAAGCACTGCAGGATAGACAAGACCGAATAATTACACACAAATCAAAGAGCTGATTAAATTCATTTAACCACAGAAATAAATGGCTTTTTTTTTTTAAATCATCAGCACAGAGAAAATGAATCTTTTCAAATTACCTAGAGATCTGAATAATAGCCTAATCATGGTCATTATTGAAAAAAAGTCTTAATATTCTAATTAAAATATTGCAACTTCAGAGGACCTCAGGACCATCTACAAGCTGGTATGGTATCATTACCATTCGCTACTCCCACTAGGGTGGGCTTCTTATCTGGCTAAGCAGCTGCAAGCATATTTTGCACACTTGCTACGGGTGATGATTGGTCACAGACACAATCCCAAGAGTAAGTCAACAACAGCGTGGTTCAAGCAGAATAAATTAAGTATTTTAGAGTCCTGACCTTCCCCTGACACGTTATTGTGTAATCTAAAGTAGACCATTCCAGTGTGGGTAGAATGCTCCTAAAAAGTATAAAAATGCAAAGATAAGAGCCAACATCACAAAATTATTCCATTAATGACCTTATTTATTTTATTTTCTCAATGAAAGACACTGTTACATTCATTAATGTTATATACTATCATACAAAAGTTTGGGGCCCATAAGATTGATATATATATATATATATATATATATATATGAAAGACTTCTCTTATGCTTAAGGCTCCATTTATTTGATCAAAAATACAGTAATATTGTGAAATATTATAATTTAAAATAAGTGTTTTTTATTTGAATACATTTTAAAATGGAATTTATTCCCATGATGGCAAAGCGCATCATTATTCCAGTCTTCAGTGTCACATGATCATTTAGAAATCTTATATAGAATTCTTATATACTGATTTGCTGCTCAAGAAACATTTCTTATTATCATCATCAATGTTGAAACCATTTCTTATTATCATCATCATCATCATCATCAGTGTGCTCCTTAATATTTTATGGATACATTTAATCAGGATTCTTCGATGAATAGAAAGTTAAAAAGAACAATATTTATTAAATATTTTATAATATGTGTAGACAATTATCCCATTTGCAGACATAAGTGAGACTGAATAGTTAAGATCCCTGAGAGCAACAGATCTCATTCTTACCTCTGATCAAAGTTCCCTTCCTGGAACAATTCGGAAGTTTGGGCATCATGAAGGAATCTATCCCAGCATTCCTTTTTAGCCTGGGACAAGGAACGGAGCATTTCCCTTGATGTTACTTCATTCGATTGTCCCTTGATCCTCTTCAATCGATTTTCTGTAGCAACAAAACAAGCTCTTAGAAACCAAATCAATGAGCCGTATTAAATAACATGCTTATCAAATATAATTTCCTGTACCTAAACTGGCAATGTAAACCTCAGAGTCAGCCATTGGTTCCCAGGGGCAGAAAGAAGCTCTGGGAGAGTTGGTCTGAGGGTTTCCTGGAGAGGAAGGCTCAAATGAGTCTGTAAACTGTCCACCATCCTGTTCCTGAGGCTCAGGCAGACTGGAGCAGACCTCAGACCACAGATCTCCAGTAGATCGGACCGCATGGCTTTCGAAGTCGTCAATCATCACGCTTCTAGTAATTAAAGCATTCATTTTAATGAAGAATCACATGCGTGTGTTGTAAACACATGATGGGATATCAACATTCATGGTTTAATAATGAAAAGTCAGGCCTGTCAAGTTTCTATAAAGGAAAAAAAGCTACGTTTTAACAGCGATCCATTACTCCTTGTTTACATAAGACGGTATCACAAGTCTTAATGATTGCTGACATTACTAGGTCTCAAGCAAACCCATATAATGGAGCAGTAGAAAATTATCAGTCATAAACTTAACATAGTGCTTACCTTAAAGTACAATGTTCTCAATACACCTCAGACCTAAAAGGATATATTAAAAAGGGGGGAAATACAAGCATTAGCATTTAAAACCCATCCTTCTCTCTTGTTTTGCCTTCACTGCTGCTGAGAAGCAAGTAACCGGCAGGGAG